GTGCTACTTTCCTTGCTTCACATTTGTAACAGTGATTTCCATACAGTGGACATACGTGGGCTTTGTAAACATTATGCAAGGCTGGAAACTAGTTATCACAGTAAACTCTGCTATTTGGGGGAAAAAAAGAACAACCAGGGAAACCAGAGGAATGAGGTTTAAAGCAGTCATTTTCCTAGGAGAGGAAATATTACAGGTTTTCACAACTAGTTGATGCTTCTTGGTCCATTCCCCCATTTAAAGGCCAAGGGGGAAAGGTGAAGGCATTTGTAAGGAAAAATGAGTTCCCAGACTGCACCGTCTTCCTACCTGAAGGTGATTTTGCCCTCATCTTGCTGTGGTGAGAGCCCAAGAAAGAAGGAAACTAGCTTACTCATTCTTCAGGGTTGCTGAGTAACTAATTGCTGGGAAGTTCCACAAATAGGCAAGGCCACATTCTTTTTAGGTGTAATAATTGTGGTTGCTGAAAAATCTGGAAGCAACCCGAATATCAGAGTGCCAGGTCAAATGAAGGAGGAAAGAAGGGAACCGTCAGGAAAGAAGGATCCATCCACCCTGGAGTATTATGCATTCAATAAAAATTTAGAAAGATTGTAGCAACATGAAAAAAAAAGGCCATGAGATGTTAACGGGGGAAGAAAGCAGGTTATACAGTAGGTAGAAGGGAAGTGAAGAGGAAAGGATATCAGGGAAAACATTTTAAAGCTATGATGAATCCTTTTATTTACTCAATTCAACATTTACTAATCACCTACTACATCTCAGGCACATGGCCAAGGGCTAGGAGGAGGCCAAAATCAAAAGGTTCCTGTAGAATTTACAGCTTAAAACAGTAGATTAAACGGAAGAGTGCAATATGACCCCTTGTCACAAAGAGCCACACGGTATTCACACCTTTCTTTTTTAGTTTAAGGGGTGTCCCTCTGTTTAGTTATTTTAGCCTAGCAGTCACTGTATGGGCATAATAATTGCTGCTGCAAAGTTCACCTCTGATTCTTTGTCTTCCTACTATTGACATCTCTCTTTGTCGAGTACCTGCTGGTGTTTGTGTGCAGGCATCGCGCTTGGTGCTGTGAAGTGGAAGTGAGTTAAGGAAGGCCTGTAGTCCCAGCCCCCCAGAGCTTCTCCATCTAACTGGAGACGAGGTACAGGGCTCGTATACAAGTCAGACTTCAATGAGCGTCCAAGGGAAAGGGGATCAATTCGGAGGCCAGAAGAGATCTGGGAGGGTGGTGGCTTCTGCCAGGGTCCGGCCCCGAGGGTTAGCAAGGCCCGGTAGAAGGCTGGCGGGCGGCGGGCAGGTGCAGCGGGATCTCGAGCTGGAACGCTCCAGCTAGAGTCGGGGGCCGCGGCGCGCGCAACCTGGCCCCGCCCCGGCGGCGGCTCTGTGCGCTGATTGGCCCGCGCCGGCCGCGCTCGCGGTTGGCGGGAGGTCTCTGAGCGGGTAGTGCCGCTGCGGAGCGAGTGGCGTGCAACCGCCTGAGGCCTCGAAGCGTGCCGTGGGAGGCTGTCCGGCGCCCCGGCCCCAGGTTTTGGCAGGTATCTTCCGCTCGCGCTCCGGCTTCGGGCCTCGCCGGCCACCCTCCAGTTTCGGCTGCGCCCGGTCCTTCCATCCCTCTCGCCCCCGGCCCCGCCGCCCACCGGGTGTGAGGATGGGACGGCGTCCCGGCCCCCTTCCCCCACACGCTTCGGCCCGCGAGTCTCCTCAGGTGTCCTCGCCGCGACGGGAGCACACCCTCCCGGCTCTTCGGGCCTGGGCTCGGGCGGGGGGCGTACGAGGTCGGAGTCCGCGAGGCTGCCCCTTCCTCGGTCGCTCTGTGGGGACCGCGGAGCGGCGTCGCGCTCCTCCGCGTCGCCGGCGGGCCCTTCCCTGGCGCGCTGGCGGGGAGGAGAGGCCCCGGGGGACGCCGCCCGCCGCCGGTCGTGATCCTCTGGGGAGGAGCCCGCCCCGGTCCGCTTGGGTCCCCGTCAGCGCGTCCTCTTCCAGGAGCCGTGGGGTCGCAGCCTCTGTCCGTCCGTGCCCTGGCCCCGCGCCACCTCCCACAGTTTCCAGCCGCCGGTTTCTTACCCGTCGGCACGGCTGGGGGCCAGCGGGCTTCGATTTTTTTTTTTTTTTTTTTAAGAACCTTTTGAAGGAATTGAACACTTCGACAGGATAAACCCCATGCTATGTGAAAATCGAGGTCCCGCTTGTTTAACAAATTTTGTTCTCGAACACAAGCATGTTTAAAAATACCTCTAGTCTCTGTTACCAGTACCATCTTAACATTTCAGTTATATCGCCGGAGGTGAAATGTGACTCTCCGGGCACCGTCTGACTCTTCTTCCCTCGAAAGACACGCCTCCCTGCAAAAAAGACACAGTAACGCTGCTGCCACGTAGTGAGTTTGGGCCACGGATTCAGCACTACGCTCGGCAGATCCGTATACTTCCTTCGCTCATGAACCGTCCTAAATATGTGTTATGAACAACGTCTAAGAATAGAATACGTAATTTTTACTGAATGCTTCTGTGTACCAGGATCTAAGAGCACCTAGGTGTGTCTCGTGTCTTAACATCCGGAATGAGGAAATGGGTGCTCCCGGGAGTGGTGCTCCCGGGAGTGGTGCTCCCGGGAGTGCGGTCACAACTCACTCCTACGGTTCTGTCCAGCCCAGCTTCCATTTATTCCCACCACCTCATCATCAAAGTGTCTGCTTTTCTCCACCTAATTGTGTGGATTTCTAATCAGACTTGAACTTCTTATTGAAACAGCTCTGCCCTGCAATTTTACAAGGGCTGTAGCACCTAGCACTTGGCTGAGGCCAAAAGTATTCAATAGCCATTTAGATGTTAAATTAGAAAAAAATATATATATTTAAAAATCAAAATTATGGAGTTGTGATAATAGCCCCAGCAAAGCTTCCAGCAGTTTTGCCAAGAATTTTTTTTCTTAAATTTGCTGTGTTGTTTTTTTTAACAGTTTACAGTGTGTGGTTATGATGGAGAAAAAATGCTGTGGTCATTTCCATAAGGATTCTGTTTTTTAAGAGTTATTTTATTTTAGCAAAACGGTGGTAAGCCCATCTTTCTTCCCTAAAGCAATGGCTAATATTTGACCACTAAGTCACAATTTATTTTGCGTATTGACCATGCAAATGCTTGACTTAAATTTTTATAAAGTGTAAGCTTATAAGCTGGGTTTGTTTTCCTGGCAGGGTGACAGTAAGTAATATCGGGCTGCATACCATGATGTTTTACACATGATTTCATTTAATTTTGAAAACACATCTTTGGTGGTTAAAGGATATGGGCCTTTGGTGTCAGACATTCCTGGATTCAAATCCTGGGTTTATCACTCGTTAATTATGTGACCATGGGCAAATTTCTTCTTCCCCAAGCCTCAAATTTCTCATCTAGAAAATAAGGATAAAATAATAACCTATTTTATAGAAATGTTCTGAGGATTAAATGGGATAATGCATGTGAAACTTTTCACACAGTGCCTGGCACATATTAAGTGTTCAGTGTAAGGCTGCAATTATAAGGAAGTTAAGGTTTCCCTGCCTGCCCTGAATCGCCATCAGATGTTGCTATTAGATTTTTCATATAGGCAGCTGAGTCTCCCAGTACTGATTCTGTCGTATGATTCTGTGCACCACACCCTGACACTCTTTATATTACCCCCAGAGAAAACAACTTATTTTAGATACCTATAAATTAGCTGTGGTATATTTACCAAAGGGGGGGAAAAAAACCCCAGACATCCTATTGAAGTGTGAATTCTGGTACAATTTTTTTTCAGATTGGTGGAGTCCACATAAAAACCCACTACAGGGTTTTGCCATTTGAGTGTAGTTTCTTCTGGTTCCTTCCTTCTTCCCTGTCTCTTACCCTTTCTCATATTTTTAGTTGCCTTGCATTCTTTTCCTCTTGCTTCCATGAGAACTCTATTTTCAGTACATCTAAATGAAGAGCATAATTTAAAACTACCTCAAGGTGGAATACGAGTAAGAATGTAGCATTGATCACTTCTCTCCTTAGTGTCTCCATAACTTTTCTGCCAGTGTTTGCTGATTAACTTCAATGAATCTCTGTTTGGGGAATTTCACAGTTCTTTCTCTATTTCCTCAAATTTCATATGAAGTATCCCAACACATATATAGAATTTAACGGAATAGTGTAAAGCTATACTATGAACATATTTATCTATTTGATTGACAAAATTTGCCTTCTGGTTTCATGATATGTCCGTGGTTATCTTAGTATAACAACACTTTTAAAGTTACCTAACATTGAGTAAAACTTACCTTCTGGGAGATATGCCATAGTTATTCTATATTCTGGCACATTCCACCCCCAAGCCTAGCTCCCAGTTTGGGAAGCCTGACTTTAATTTTTTCCATCTAGATTGTAAGGCTGCTCTCACTTCGGGGGAAAAAAAAAAAAAGATGCAGATGAGACCTCCAGCTGTCTCCCAGACGAGGTGGGTAGGAAAGAGCAGAAAGTTCTGAAGTCTCAAGGTTCAATTTATCACCCATTCCTTTTTCTATGGAGTTTGTAGCACCCATCCCCAACTCCGTAATTGCCTTAAATTTGGTTGGACCTTAGATATAAGAAGAAAGATGAGCGGATGGGAGGGAAGTGAAACAGAGGGAGGAGAGCAATTATAGAATCAATTGAATATAATTTCCTCTGCTTAGTTTTTCATAATCTAGCCCTCTGCTGTCTAATATGATAGCTGCTAGCTACATGTGGCTGTTGGGCACCTGAAATGTGGATGGTGCAACTGAAAATTTTTTATTTTAATTTAAAATTAAGTACTGAAGGAGTGTAAAATATTTGTCCCTTACACACTACTTTACTGTATTGGTAGGACTACTTTTCACTCTCACTATTGGAAATTTAGCATCTGAATTGAGACCTACTATAAGTGTAAAATACACACCAGATTTCAAAGACTCAGTATGAAAAATAAAGTATGTAAAATATCTCATTAATTTTTATGTTGATTATACACTAAAATGATATTGGGTATACCAGATTACATAAAACATATTACGAAGATTCATTTGCTTGTTAGTACTTCTTTAATGTGGCTTTAAAAATATAAAATTACAAATGTGGCTCACATTACAGTGGACATTGCTGATCTAGCCCTACTATATCCAATCTTATTTTCCATTCCTTCCTTCAGCAGGGAAGTTTCTGAGGGTCAGGAAGGAGAATCTGTACCTAACTCCTTGAACACCAAGGGAGGCATGGCTGCCTGGGTCACTGTGAGTTATGGATTGCCATGCTTGGGTCACTGTGAGTTATGGGTTCAGAAGTTCTCATTAGGATCTCAGAGTAGTTTCCTGCTTTGCCTATGCATATGTCCATTTCCTACCACCGTATAAAAAAGGTATTACAAATGTAATACAAACTGTAGTAATAATTATGTGAACTAATTACCACCAAACATGGTAGTGATTATGCATATTGTTAAATATTGATGAATTAACTTTGTTTCTAATTTTATTATAACACTGTACATTCATATACACTTAAAATCAATCACTCAAATTAACAGTTTGTGGTTATGATAGAGAAAAATGCTGTAGTCATTTCAATAAGGATACTGTTTTTTAAGAGTTACTTTATTTTAGCGAAACAGTGATAAGCCCATCTTTCTTCCCTAAAGCAATGGCTCATTTAACCACTAAGTCATACACTCACAAATTTAAAAATTAGAGTGATCAATTTATGAGAATCCCTCACGTATACCCTACATTTCTTTGCTAGAATTGTTTTTAACTTTTCAATAAATACCAGTAAATGCTTGTTGAATAAGTGATTTTTGTAGCATATCAAAGAATTACCAGTAAGAAAATATTTTGTGTGGGGAGGTGGATTACTTTCAGTGTAAGATTTGATATGATAATAATTTATTTCTGGAAATAGCTTGCCTTGTTCTATAAAAAGTTTGAAGTGTCATATAACAACTATATGATAAAAGTATGTCAGTAGAAGCAGAATTTAAAACTTTAGGAAAAAAGAATACCACAAATAGATTATAAGTGCAGCATAGTTTCTCTAATTAACTTTCAAATTTGGTTTTGGGTTCCCTAGTAGTCAAAGCAAAATGGTATACAGGATCTTACTGAGAAGAGAAGGTGTTATCAGTTACCCAAAGGAAACATAGCATTTCTTACCAATGAATGATAAAAACAATTTCTTATGTGAGTTACTATCACAAATAGTATTTTAGTAGCAAGTTCAATAACATTTTATATGACTGCATCTGGTAATGTCATCTGATTAGTTGTTTTTATATAGAAATGAACAAGAGTGTGGTAAATTATTATGTTTTATTTTTACAGGAATCTTGGGAAACCAAAATGAGACATAATCAGCTGTGTTGTGAGACACCGCCTACTGTCACTGTTCATGTAAAATCAGGGTCAAATAGATCACATCAGCCTAAAAAACCCGTTAATCTGAAGCGTCCTATTTTTAAAGATAGTTGGCCAGCATCTGAAAAAAATGCACATAATAGCAACAAGTCTAAACGCCCCAAAGGACCCTGTCTAGTTATACAGCGACAGGAAATGACTGCTTTCTTTAAATTATTTGGTACGTTTAAAATGTTGTAATAGCAGTAATTGTAAGGTACTTAAAAATGAGAGAATATAAAGATCTACTTTATTATTTTCATAATAATCAAAGAAGATGTTGTTATTTTCTATGTCAGATTTTCTGTCTCCAATCAATTTGTTTTTGTTTTACTTAGGGTTTGTCTCTCTCTCTTTTTTTTTTTTAATGTTGGATTTTTGTTGTTTTGGATTGCTTTTGGATTTGAAGTTCAGATTCATCTTGCTTCTAGACTACTTAAATCCAAGTGTCAAATGTGAATTCTGAGCAATTCACGTTCATAGCATGAGTTTTGTGTGATCTAAGTAAAATACTACATAAAGTCTCAGGTGAGCCAACCAGCCCAGTTTGACTGGGCCTGAGGTGTTTCCCAGGATTTTCAGTGCTGAAACTGAGCAAACTGGGAAGGTTGGCCAACCTCGAGAAGTTTCAGTATTATATGTAGGGATTTTTTTTTTCTTTGAGAGAGAGAGAGAGAGAGAGAGAGAGAGAAAGAGCACATGTGCACATGGGGAAGTGGCAGAGGGAGAGGGAGAGAGAGAATCTTAAGCAGGCTCCGTGCTCCTTGCTTAGTGGAGCTTGATTCCATGACTCTGAGATCATGACCTGAGGCAAAATCAAGAGTTGGATGCTTAACTGACTGAGCTACCCAGGCGCCCCAGGAATTATTTTTTAATATTTTATTTTTATTTAAGTAACCTCTACACCAAGTGTGGGGCTCCAGCTCATGACCCCCAGATCAAGAGTCCCATGCTCTTCCTACTGAGCCAGCCAGGGAGAGAGAGAATCCCAAGCAGGTTCTGCACTGTCAGCACAGAGCCTGATGCAGGGCTCAAACTCAGGAACTATGAGATCATGACCTGAGCCAAAATTGAGTTGGACACTTAACCAACTGAGCCACCCAGGGGTCCCAGGGGAATATTTTTAAAAATTATGCTTTATCATCATGCTCATGAAATGAGTTTAAATTTATCTGTTCAGATCATGAGACAATGCTACTTTGCTGACAAATTTCTTAAAACAAGAAACTTTTTTATATTCTAGTAGCCAAGGAAGGGACGAATTTTTTTTTTAAGGTAAGGTAGTAAGGTAGACAGATTAGACTAAAGGGTAGGATAGATGGATTCTGGTAAATATCTGTAGGAGTGAATCAAGTCATGTAGGTACCACAGTCTCTTAGATCCAGGTAACACGCAGAAGTCAGTTGGGGACAAGAGTGTTCGCCCTGCTCAGAAGACAAAAATCTTAAAAAAAAAAAAATATGAAAAAAGAAGGAGGAGAAGGAGAAGAAGAAGGAGGAGGAGAAGAAGGAGGAGGAGAAGGAGAAGAAGGAGGCGGAGGAGGAGGAAAGGAAGGAAGGGAGGAGGAGAAGGAGGAGAAAAGGAAGGAAGGAAGAGAAAGAGAGGCAGGCAGGTGCCTGGGTGGCTAAGTTGGTAAGGGTCCAACTTCAGCTCAGGTCAAGATCTCGTGGTTTGTGAGTTCGAGCCCCGTATCAGGTTCTGCACTGACAGTGTAGAGCCTGCTTAGGATTCTCTCTCTCTCCCTCTCTCTGCTCCTCTCCCACTCGCACTTTCTCTCTCTCACAAAATAAACCTTAAGAAAGAAAGAAAGAAAGAAAGAAAGAAAGAAAGAAAGAAGAAAGAAAAAAGAAAGAAAGAAAAAAGAAAGAAAAAGAAAGGGCAAGCTGGTTAAGATTTAAAGTAAAGTAAAATCAGAAGATGAGCTAAAAAGAAAAAATGTAAGTAGTGTAAGTATAATACTCAATATAAGTTCCCCCTTCTCTTTATTAAGACTAGTGCAAAACTATTACCAACAAACTTTTCTATTATTCATAGCTGATCCTGAAAAATAGAAAATACCTGGTTCTACCATAAATAATTTAAGAAATAGCTGGATGCCTGGATGGCTCAGTAGAGCATGAGACTCTTGATCTTGGGGTTGTGTGTTAGAACCCCATGTTGGGTGTAGAGTTTACTTTTTAAAAAATGGAATTAACAAGGCAGAAATTAATTCTAAGAAAATGTGTACTTATTCTTGGAATTTTCCATGTATTTGACCATATTGATATTTCTAGGATGTAAAAATTAGTGTAAAGAAGTATGTTTTGTTTGTTATTTAACTTAAAATGAAGGGGGGAATGGAAAAAGCAGATTTTCTCAGATTGTATTCAGACAACTACTCATATATTTGGGGATTATATATTTTGACCTTTTAAAATTGAAGTAAGTACTTTTGACCTACTTTTTGCATATTTTAAAAGTATTTTTGTTAATCTTTTGTCATAATACTCAGTTTTTCCAGAATTAAGTATTAATTGTAAATAGCTAATAAATTATGAATCTTTATATAGACATTTTCATTATTATTTGTATAATAGATAATTGGACAGAGATAAATAGGTGAAAAGAAGAATTCAAAACTGAAAATACCCTGAGACCTAACAGGGGAAAGTAGTAGAAAGAGTAAAAACAGTTTGAAAATCAGTAATATTCATTTAGTCATTATTTCTTAAAGACTGAGTTATCTTTTATCAGACTCCATTTCTACCAGTAAAGATTGATTTTTGAAAGTAATAAAGAGCTAATCTACAGTTACCCAAGACATCTTTCTCAAAGAGCTATTGGGATAGTCAGGAAACCAAACACTTCTACCATACCCTCTCTGGCCCGAGCAAATCAGATGGGAAACCCAAGAGTAAAAGCTGTAACTTTTTGTACAGTGCTTGCAATGGTAAATGCACCAAAGAAGCGAAAATTACATTTTAGACAGTACTTGTCCAGGCATTTTTGTTTGATTTCTAAGCATCATTTACAATCCCCTATCTTGAAATTAATTCTTCAAAAGGAGACATTCTGTTTTTAAAAGACAAGTCATAGCTATCTTTTGTTCTAGATGACGATTTAATTCAAGATTTCTTGTGGATGGACTGCTGCTGTAAAATTGCAGACAAGGTAAATTTGGTAAAGATGTAATTATTATGTTACTAAACCGTCAGAACTTTAACAAAACCTTATAAGAATTTTCTATCCTATTAATTATTGTTAGGAAAAGACTAGCCTGCATTGCTCCTTCTAAGGGTAATCCTTATGCATTAATTTTTGAAATTAGCATACATCATAGACTCATTTTATACTTGAGGAATTGCAGAATATTATTAATTATATTTAAGTGACCTTAAGTCTGTTATCTGATTGAAAACAAGAATCAGTATAGACTTAACATGTTTTGATCAGAATTATCACCTCTTATCAGGCTATGGAGTAATTCTGAATTACTGAATATTCTGAGATTAATTTCACTAAGGCAGTCTGTTATACAGTTAATATTTTATAGGTAAAACAAATCCCAATAATTTTATAGATAAAATTAGGTCCTTGTGTTTTTTATTTCAGAATCTGTGTTTCTAAAAGATCGTCATGATGCTGACTTACATGATGGTCCAACTAGGGACCATATTTCTGTACTTTTTAGATTTAGCAGAACAGTTATGATCTCAGCTTTATAAATGGTATGTTAGACCAGGTAGTCATATCAGAAAATTCAGCATGACTTCATTTCACACTTAAATTTAATGTCGCATTTAATGTGGGAAAGGTATGAATGGAAGCCTGGCTTATGATTAAATATACATTAAGTTAATATTGATGTGAACTTTTTTATTTCAAGCTTAAGATAACACAGATAAAATCGAAGTTTGGTCTTTTTAATCTCTAATTTTGGAAAATTAATTTTGGAAAATTTCAAACATGTATACCTTGAGGTAGAGAAAATAGAATTAAAAAACCTCTATGTGCCTATCATGGAGCTACAGTAATCATCAGCTCATGGCTCTGCTTGTTTCTTCTAATCCTTCTTCCCAAAACTAGACTATTTTATCCATGAATATTTCAAGATGTATTTCTAAAAGATGACATCTTTTTAAACATAACAATTTTTCTAACACTTCTAAAAATTAATATTAATGCCTTCATATAAAATAGCTGTGTAATAATGTGCATGTGGAGTTGTAAGTTTCCTACTTTACAGTTTTAAATGCATTACAGTAATTAAAGTTGCTGGACAGCAGGGGGCAGTGTTTTTAAAGTAACTAACCATGCATACCGTATTTAAGAGTTCTCTACTGAAAGTTATCTTGAAAACTTGGAGTCACCTTTGTAGTGAATCCTGTGAAGGTAGGATAAAAAGGCATTTTATGAGAGAGAATCTAATACATCAGTACTTTAATTGTTTTTAGTTTTAACATATAGAACCTGGACAGTGCCCTAATACCAGGAAAGATATGTCTTTCTAATAACACATTTAAAACACTTTTTTTCTGAAGAAAATAGAGCCATTAGAATAAATTATTCTAATTTCTGATTTGAAGTTATTTTTAAAAGTGAGGATGTGAAATTGTTAAGAGAGTAGACCCTAGGTGTTCTTAACAAAAAGGGAAAAAAGATAATTATGTGAGGTGAAGGATATGTTGATTAACCTGTTTTTGCTATTCACTTCACAATGTATATAACAAATCATCACATTGTAAACTTTAAATATATATATACATCTGTGCCAATTATACCTCAATTTAAAAATCCCCCCCACAATGAATGAATGAATGAATGAATGAATGAATGAATGAAAAATGAGTATAGGTGTCTGCAATTAACTGGAAGGAGTCAGGAAAAAATTTTTGTATAGGGGCGCCTGGGTGGCGCAGTCGGTTAAGCGTCCGACTTCAGCCAGGTCACGATCTCGTGGTCCGTGAGTTTGAGCCCCGCGTCAGGCTCTGGGCTGATGGCTCAGAGCCTGGAGCCTGTTTCCGATTCTGTGTCTCCCTCTCTCTCTGCCCCTCCCCCATTCATGCTCTGTCTCTCTCTGTCCCAAAAATAAATAAACGTTGAAAAAAAAGTAAAAAAAAAAAAAATTTTGTATAGATACATATGTCAAGCCAATGTGGCAACACACTAACAATTGATGAATCTAGGTGAAGGATGTATGGTTATTTGTTTTATTATTATTTCAACTTCTCTATGTATTTGAAATTTAAGATAGAAAAAAATTAGGGTTTTGGTTCAAAAAATATTGGCAATAATAAAATTTAAGAGTTCTTCCTAATCTTAATCATGATAAATGGTTCAGAACTATTTCTTACCATTCACATGGATTACAGGAAGCCAGCAAATAAGGACCCAAATAAATAGGTAATTCTGTAATAAAGATAGATAATGCTTTATTGTTTTTAGCTTATTATTCATCGTAAAGATAACTATCTTAAAGCAGTTTTACGTATGAACGTAAAACATTAATATTAACTTTTACTTTTTTCCCTATAGTATCTTTTGGCTATGACCTTTGTTTATTTCAAGAGAGCTAAATTTACCATAAATGAGCATACCAGGATAAATTTCTTTATTGCTCTGTAAGTATGCTTTCTACTAAGTGATTTTTGTGGTCCTTATTTATAATATATATGATAACTTATTTGAAACAGTCTGTTTTGGGACACTTGGCTGGCTCATTAGGTAGAACTTGCGACTCTTGATCTCTGTGTTGTAAGTTCTGGCTTCACATTGGGTATGAGCTTACTTAAAAAAATAAGTAAATGAAGTTTACATTGCAACCCATAAAAAAATAAAACAGAGGCTTTTAAAAACCTGATGTATATCCTTGAATAGGCTTTATATATAGAAGTTATATATTTTTTTTACTTTAATAGAATATTTTTATGTTCTTTTCACTGATCTTATCCTGCCATATGCGTAAGATTTATTTTTCAGTATTCCACTTGGGTTTGTATTGTATCTTTTACATATTTCAGAGTGCTCCATATAAATTATCCCAAATTCTCCTCTTTTGGACTCAGATATGTTTTAGAATCCAGAATATTCGGTTTGAAATTTCCAGTAAATTTATAGCAAAAATCATCGTCATTGGGGCACCTGTGTGGTTCAGTCAGTTAAGCGTCTGACTCTTGTTTTCGGTTCAGATCATGATCTTGCAGATGATCTTATGGTTTGTGGGATCGAGCGAGCGCCCTGTTGGGCTCCACCACACAGTGTGGAGCCTGCTTGGGATTCTCTCTCCCTCTCTCTCTCTGCCCCTACCCCACTCATGCACATGCGCATGCTCTCTCTCTCAAAATAAACTTAAAGTCATCATCATTTTCCTTTTACATGAAACAACTTGTGGAAAATGCTACAGACATACTAATTATAGATTTTTGTCTGTAACCTAGAAGTTATTCATATCTGGGGTGCCTGGGTGCCTCTGTGTTGACAGCTTGGAGCCTGAAGCCTGCTTCGGATTCTTTGTCTCCCTCTCTCTCTGCCCCTCCCCCACTCGTGCTCTGTCTGCCTCTCTCTCTCTTTCAAAAGTAAACATCAAAAAACATTTAAAAAAAAGAAGTTATTCATATCTGACACCTTTCTTTAGTAACCACTGACTCTTTTACGTAACACACTGAACTTTGACCAAGGAATATAGCTGTTTTTTTCCAATTCTTCTATTCTTCTATTGACTTTATATTGGATTGTTCATACTAGCTTTGATACTAACCATTTCTGTTAAATGGTTTTAATAACATGGCTTTCCAGCCTATAGGTCAGAATTATACTAGAAGCAATGTTTAAGAAAATGTATCTCAATCTCGAAACTTTTTATACCCAGTACCTGGATATAATACTGCAGTTGGGAATGTATGAATATAATTTTAAGTACTTAATTAGGGAACTACATATAAAAAATAAGTTGAATACCTCAACAACTGTTTGCACTGATGAGTGAGTTTTTACTCAAAGTCTATTTAATTCAGACTCAAAGTGTGATTCAAGAAATAGGACTAGAAGAAACTGATCTCTCCTTGTATTTAGAAGACATATTTCCCCGTGCATAAGGGATAATGAACCTTATAAAATTTAGTGATGATTGATAAACTGTGGGAATATAATAGTACTAACTAATACTGAGTGTTATGTGCAGGACACCACAAAAATTGTTTTTTTATAAGCTCCTTGAATCTTCTCTGTGAGATACATTATTAAATTCTCTTCATTCTACATATGGGGAAATTGAGACTTAGGAAGGGAAGTACTCCCAAGTCTCACAAAAGTTAGTAAGTGGCAGGGCTGGGGTGCACAGTCAGGTGTGACTTGCCCGTGGCCAAATTTAGTGATTAACCACTAAGCTACATTGCTGTTAACATGTCTCCTTAGTATTATATTATACCTCTATGTTGATACAATATCTATTTTGTAGTTTTTTCTACCTGCAAATTAAAAACAAACCAAAAGAAGCTTTCTTTTTAATTCTTACAAATGCCTGAAATTGGATTTGTTTGACATTTTGGTAATGTTATTACTAGTAAAGTAAAGCAGCACGAGTTTACCGTGTAGTAGTCTGTATAACATGGATTATAATTTCCATTTTATATCTAATCATACTTTTTTATATATCCTGACTCAATAATTCTCAGTAAATATTTTCTTAGCGACAGTTCTTTTTTTTTTTTTTTTAAGCTTATTTATTTATTTTGAGAGGTAGAGAGAGAATCCCAAGCAGGCTCCACACTTACAGCATGAAGTGCAGCACAGGGTCTGACGCAGGGCTCAGTCTCACAGTTCCTGAGATCTTGACCTGAGCTGAAATCAAGAGTCAGATGTGTAACTGACTGAGTCACCCAAATGTCCCAGTTAGCCACAGTTCTAACTCAAGTTCTTTTCCTTCCTATATGTTCTTACAACACTCAGGACTTTTATTGTCATTATTCCATATTCTCTTGTACAGTTATTTGTTTCATACTTAGTTACTTCTTCTTCTTGACTATAGGCTGCTTAAAGGGAAGGAACATGTATCTAAATTGTTTTTTTTGCATCCTTTAACGTGTGGTTGTTCTTAATTCTTTATTTGGATAAGCATAATTAGCTATTATACAAAAGAAATGAACTCTGCTCCAAGAAAATCTATTTCAAATTAGAAGACAACTTACATGCATACAATACAAATATTTTTATAACATTGAGCCTGAAAAATTGTTAATCTAGAGTAGAATTACAATGTAGTTCTGATAGCATAGTACCACAGTATGTTATAGATTTTGTTTTATTTGGTTAACAAGCGTGAAAGGAGCCAACCTCTGGCTTCTGTCTACCCTTTACTAAGAACTATCAAGGATACTAAAGTAAGAAATTATGTAATTTCACAGAGGACATGATTGGATTCATATAACTGAATGGGTTTCATAATAAGGTGCTTTTATATTATGGTAATTTAAAAATATGTACAGTTATTTTAAGGGAAGGTAAAGTAATAGGTAGGTGCTATTTTTATATTAATGTAACTAAATTGAATATGCATGTAGTTTTTTAAAAGGACATAAGTAGGTATACAATTAAAAGTAAGTATTCATGTCTCAAGACGTTGGCATCCTTCCTCAAGAACAATGACCATTTCATGTGTATCTGTCTAGAAATAATTTTCTATACATGAACCAGTGTATATATTATATGAATAGAAGTATACTATACATTTCTGTGCCTTTTGAATTTTTCTAATGTGACATATCTATAAAAGGAGTATATGGAATGTGTATATGTTTATGTTAAAGAAAAAGCAAAACAAATACTCATATACCCATGACTCAACTTTAGAATAGAACATTGCCAGAATCTTAGAGGCTCACAGTGCACAATTTCCCAGTTAGAGCCCCCTCCCTTCCACAGATAGTAATTTTCTTGATTTTATTTATTCTGTATATAACCCTCTAAATAATATATCGTTTGGTTTTTCCTGTTTTTAAGCTATATGTAAAAGAATAATGTGCACTGTTCTTCTGTAACTTCCTTCTGTTTCTTTATAATATGATTTGAGATTCATTTATATTGATATGTGTAGCTCTAGTTCATTCATTTTCACTGCAGAATAATAATATTCTATATTATTGCTTATATATTTGAATTTTTTACTATCTTGTCTTTATGTCCCACTTTTTCTGAGATCTTTTTAATTTTTATTTTTTGATACCTTTTATTCCTCTGCTTTTTAGGAAATTATGCAGTCTATATCCTTTCAGCAGTTATCCTAGTTACCTATTTTTTTAACTTACTAGATTACTGGTTTCTTATAAAAGGATATAACTCAGGAACAGCCAGATGGAAGATTTGCATAGGGCAAGATATGAGGAAAAGGCATGGAGCTTCCATAACCCTTCAGCACCCCTTGATCTCTGCATGTTCACCAACCAGGAAGCTCTATCCCAGTTATTTTTAATCAAGAGCCGTAAACATTTTAACTCCAGTCACCCCTTTCTCAACTTATATTCTCTTGTTTTGCAATTCTGTGGTTCTACATGAAGCCCTCCAAAAACTTTGAGACATTATTATTGTTGTTTTTACACTGAACATTTGTTTAAGGACTTACTCACATATTTATATCTTTGCTTACTATTCCTTCTTGCATCTCAAACCTTCTACTTGGGATCATTTGCCTTCCTTTCTTATTGCTTTTAGGATTTATTTATTTCGTGTTGGACTATTAATTTCAGTATCTTCAGACCTCAGGGTCTGTTTATGTTTATGGTACACTGTTCCCTTACATGTTTTACACTTTTTTTATTGGAAGTTGCTTGTTTTTCTTAGAAAATCATCTATGGTGCTTTCATTGTTTCCAGTGGGAAATCTCTGTCATTACCTCTGTTTCTGTGTTATCTAACGTCTCGTTTTTTGTCTGGACTGCCTTTACGTTTTTCTCTTTATCACCTGTTCTGAATAATTTGATTATGTTGTGTGTTGATGTAATTTTCTTCATATTTTGTGCTTTGGAGTTCATCCAGCTTCTTTGTATGTTTATAGTTTTCATAAAATTTCAAAAACTTTCAGCGATTATTTCTTCAAATATTTTTTCTGTCCACCCAACTCTTGTTAGGGACTCCAGTTTCGCCTTCATTAGACCACTTGAAGTTGTCTCACAGCTCATTGATGGCTCTATTATTTTTGTTTCTTTTTTCTATATGTTTCAGTTTAGACAGTTTATATTGCTGTCTTCAGTGCACAAATCTTTTCTTCTGCAGTATTTAGTCTATTAATCCTACTCCATGTATTTTTCATTGTACAGATAGTTTTCATCTCTAGAAGTACACTTTGTGTCTCCTGTTCTTTTTGAACATCTGGAGTAAATATAACAGTTTTAATGTCCTTGTCTGTTTAATGTCTGTTACTTCTAACGTGTCAATTTTGGTTGATGATTCTTTTTATTATGAGTCATGTGTACCTGTTTCTGTGCATGCCTGATCCCCCTCATGTATTTAGGAGGATACTGATTTCCATATGTATATAAGGAAACTACTTGGGTGTGGGGAAAGATTAGAGGGAACAGTGCCTAACATTCACCCAGAGCTGGGAATTTTGCCTGTTCCCACCAGCCAGACTGAAAAAACTCATAATTAACAGAATATTGAGTAGAGTACTCAAGAATGTCTTGCTTCAGTAGTGGGGAATAATTACCCCAGACTGAACATTGCTCTAGATCCACCTAACAAATCATTAAAGCAAGGCCTGAAAGGATCAGACTTTTTCTAAGTAACTTAACTGCATCCTGGAACAAAGTTCAAATTTTATAGGAATACAAAAATATCCAGAACTTGGGTCGCCTGGGTGGTTCAGTTGGTTAAGCTCTGACTCTTATTTCAGCTCAGGTCATGATCTCATGGTTGTGGAATCAAGCCCCATGTTGGGCTCCATGCTAAGTGTTGAGCCTGATTGGGATGCTCTCTCTCCCTCTCTCTCTGCCCCTTCCGTCTCTCAAAATAAATAAACATTAAAAAACAAACAAAATATCCAGAACTCAACAAGGTAAAATTCACTGTATTTCTATTTTTGGTCTACATTTTTTAATTATGAGTGAGGTTGAACATCTTTATGTGTTTGTAAGTAATTTATATATTTTTTTGTGAACTGCCTGTTCTTGTCCTTTTCCCATTTCTTTTTTGAGTTGTTGGTCTTTTTTGTTAGGTATCTGGCTAATACAGTTGAAGAAGATGAAGAAGAATCCAAATATGAAATTTTTCCATGGGCTTTAGGGAAAAACTGGAGAAAATTGTTCCCTAATTTCTTAAAATTAAGGGACCAACTCTGGGATAGAATTGACTATAGGGCTATTGTAAGCAGGCGATGCTGTGAGGAGGTAAGGTTTTTAAAAAACTTTATATATGTAATCTGTTTTATCTTTATGTAATTTCCCTTGTCTTGTTTTTAAATGTGCTTCTAATACATTTTTTGTATATGTAAGGGTAGGCTATTAACCTTGATGGTTACCATGAATACATCTTATATATTACAATGTTGATATTTTAATTTTTTACCACAATAATTAAAAATTGTCATTTCTGTTTTTCAGAACAGCCTACTTCTGTAGTAAGTATTTTTGTTTTAGTGTGTTTCTTTAGTCTAAAAGATGACCAGTATATTGGGAAAGGACAGTGTGCAGATTGCAAAATATGTTAATAACATTTGGAGGTGAATGATAATTTCCATCAAATAAAGTATGTGAAATTTCAAGTTCCCAAGATTAAAATGCAAACTACATGGTGTAAAATTTAAATAAATTTAAATGTTAAAAATCACACCTCTTTTCACATAGAATAATACATAAAGTAAGTTTCCTTGATGCCAGATTCTATTAAGTCAAACAGAAAAACACTAAAAATTAGAAAATGGGTTATTTTACCTAATGTTCTAGGTTTTCAATAAAGAAAAAAGTTAATGTTTCAAACTAAAGAAATATTCTAAAATAGAAAATTAATGGAGGGCAGTGATCATTGTAGGCCAGTACTAGTAAAGTTTGGTAAATGTGAATTAGTTAATGCTGTAATGAAATGAAGTTATATCCAGTTAAATGATGATAGGCAAAAGAACCAATTAATGGATTAGTGTCAAACTTCAGGCAAGACTTTGGAGGTGTGTCACAGAACTCTGCCTGGAATTAACCTTGTTAATTATATTTATGAATGAGATGAAAGTATTAGCAAGTATGGATAATTGTGTATTAAATTAAGAGGATTGTTGAATGTTGAGGGAAATTAAAGGATTCAGAAATAACTTAGAAGATTGAAATAGCAAGGTCAAGTTTTTTCAAGGTTAAATTCAGTGGGGGTGCCTGGGTGGCTCAGTTGGTTAAGCATCCAACTTCAGCTCAGGTGATGATCTCACAGTTTGTGAACTCGAGCCCTACTCTGGGCTCCACACTCTCTCTCCCTCTTTCTCTGCATTTCATGGGATTCTCTCTCTCTCTCTCCTCTCTCTCTGCCCCTTGCTCACTCGCTCACTCTTTCTCAAAAAAAAAAAAAAAGATGAAATTCAACAGAAAAATATGGAAAATTGAGTGTATATCTCCCCTCCCCCAAATTAATAGATCCTCATTAAAGGATTTAAACAACTCATTCCAATTAGAGGACATTGAAAGAGTCATGTATTGCTATGTTTTATCTCTATGTCCCCAGGTCAGGAGTGGATAATTGGTGCCCCTGTGCCATCCTTGGACATGGTAGTAGAGCTTACTTGAACACTCTGATTTTTTTCAAAGTAAACACTTTAAGCCCCATGGTACACTCAGCTAAGAGCATGGAATGGGCACCAGAGGCAAGAGGCTGGGATAGGCAATGCTCACCTCATGGCAGATTGCCCACCCACTCCTAAGATAGAACAACTAGCATTATAACTGCAACAACTTAATTTACACAATTGGAGATGGAATTACTTCAGTTGCTGGCATAAGACTATTAAAGAGCCAGAGTATGATGTACCTTAATGGTGTATGTGTAAAAGACTAAAAAGTTTTAGATAACTGTAAACTCAGTTGTGTAATGGGATTTACAGAAAAGTTTAGTATCTCAAGGCTTCGACATTGACAATAGATCTCTCCCCTAATTCTAGATGTGCATATTAAATTTCCTATTCATATTTCATTATCTAGTAAATACCTCATACTTAACATGCTGACAATCCAGTTTCTGATTCCCCTACACAGACCTCCAAAACTTCTCCTTCTATATATAGTCTTCCACATCTTAATAAATGGTAACTTCATCATTCTAGTTGTTCAGACCAAAAAACTGTTGCCCTACACTTTTCTCACATCCATACCTTAAAAAAATGTCCAGCATTCTACCATTTCTCATGACCTCTACCACTAAATCCTACTGTGATTGTCTCCTCATGTCTCAGTCATTGCCATAATCTTCCAAGTAGTCTCTCTTATAATCTTTCTCTCCTGTAGTATATTTTCATACACCAGCCAGAGTAAATCTTTTAGAAAGTAAGTCAAATCATTGGTCCTCTACTCAAAAGCCTCCAGAGGCTTCCCATCTTACATAAAGTAAAAGGCAAAACCCTTATCATGGCTCTACCTGGTCTGCCAACTCTCTTCTCATCTCTTCATCTCTCTTCCCTCCAACTACACTGGCCTCCTTGCTCGTCTTCAAACACACCAAGGACATTCCCACCTCAGGATTTTTTTTTTTTTTTTTTTTGGCCTGGAATGTTTTTCCCCCAGATATCCGTGTGCTTCACTTCCTCACTTCATTTAGGATTCTACTTAAATAGCACCTCAGAGAAACCTTTCCTTAGCACTGCATCAAGTAGTATCTCCCTGAATGGAATAAAATTGAAGAGTCCAGAAATAAACCTTCATATTTATGTTCAATTGAATTTTGACAAAAGTACCAAGAAAATTCAATGGGGAAAGAATAGTCTTTTCAACAAATGATGCTGGGACAAGTGGATATCTACATGCAAATGAATGCATTTGGACCCCAATTTTTATATCAGATATAAAAACTAATTCAAAATGGATCAAAGACTGAAATGTAAGAGCTAAAAACTACAAAATTCTTAAAAGGAAACACAGGTGTAAATCTTCATTACCTTGGATTAGGATTCTCAGAGATCATACGAGCACAAGCTTGAACTCAAAAGCACAAGCAACAAAAGAAAATAGAGATTATCACTGATATTGAAAACTTTTGTCCTTCAAAAGACACCATGAAGAAAGTGAGAAGCCCACAAAGTGGATGAAAATTTTGGCCAATTTTCTGTCCAATAAGGGAGTTGTGTCTAGAATATATAAAGAGTTCTTACAACTCAACAATAAAAAGACAACTTTTAAAAGGGCAAGGATCTGAAAAGGCTTTTCCAAAGAAGATCTACAAATGGGCAAAAACCACATGGAAAGATGCTCGACATCATTAGCCATCAGAGACATGAAAAATCAAAACCACAAGTAGATATTACTTCACACCCACGAGGATAGCTATTGTGAAAAAGACAAATATAACAAGTGTTGATAAAGATATGGAGAAAATGGAACCCTCATACACTTTGGTTTGGAATGTAAAATAGTGTAGTTGTTTTGGAAAACTGTAGCAGTTCCTCAAAGGACTAAACAGGGTTACCATACAACCCAGCAGTTCCAGTTCTAGTTGTATATACAAAAGAAAGGAAAGGTATGTCCACACAATAACTTGTACATGAGTATTCATAGCAGCATTATTTGTAATAGTCATAAAATGAAAACGCAAATGTCCTTCAGTGAATGGATGGATAAACCATATAGTATATTTATACAGTGATATATTACTTGGCAATTAAGAGGAATCAAGTACTGATACAGGCTGCAACATGGATGAACCCTGAAAACATTATGCTAAGCGAAAGAAGCCAGTCACAAAGGACCACATATTGTATGATTCCATTAAGTGAACTGTCCAAAATAGACAAATCCAAAGAGATAGAAAGTAGCTTAGTCGTTGCCAGAGGCCAAGGGGAAGGAGAAATGGGGTGTGATTACTTTTTTTATGGAGTGATGAAAATGTTCTAAAATTGACTATAATAATGGTTGTGCAACTCTAGACATACTGAAAGCCATTCTACACTTTAAGTGGGTAAATTGTATGGTATTTTGAGATATAGCTCAATAAATCTGCTGAAATAACAAGTACTACTTCCCACTGTCCCTCTGTATTTCTTTTCGTAGTTTCCTCCATAGCACTTAACCATCATATAACATACTCTGTTTTAATTATCTTACAAATACGATTTCCCCCTACTACAATATAAATTCCAAGAGGGTATGGTCTTTATTTTCTTATTGTACCTCCAGTGCCTAGAACAGTGCATGTCACATAGTAGGTACTCAGTAAATAGTGCTGGCTGACAGAGTGAATGGGATTTAAAGCTTCTGATTCTTTTTCATACCTTCTTATCCATGTAGTAGAAAAACAATAAACTATAAAACTTGCTGACTTAGCACTGCCTCTTACAACAGGGGCACATAGATAAGCTTTTTTATGGCTGTTCCGACCAGGTACATTTGAATCATTGTAGTACATAGGAAAAGAAATTACGTAGACTTTATCCTGTTCTCGTAACTATTCATTCAATAGCTACCTAATGAGTAAGACACTTAAGTTCAGTATTATGGGGGTTCGTTGTAAAAAAGTGTTACATCATCTTTGCCCTGAAGTTTGATGCATTAAAGTGCAAAACATGGCGTTAGAAATTTAGCTAAGTATTTTATACATTTGTTATTGAGAGCCTGGTATTGACATACTGCCAACTCATTTCTTGAGTCTCACCCTAAAGTAAACCCAAGTTATGATAGTACTTATAAACTGGCTTACAATGATAATACTTTACATTTGCATTGTGCTTCATAAATTCATAAATATTTTCATATGTAGATTATCTTCTTATCCTCACAAAAATGCCTGTGAGAGTTGCAGCATTCTTATTTTACATCTGATGAAATTGAGGACCAAGGAGTTTGAGGTTTACTCAAGATCATACATCAATTAAATGGTAAACTCAGGATGTGATTTCATATCTAATGACTTCTCAGTGCTCTGTTTTCTCTGACATCTAGCTTCTACTGCTCATACTGGTTAATTTGAAAGGCACACATATATCTATTATGTTATTTTATCTCAGGAACTGAATAGTATATTCTGTCCATTTTTCTGATGAAGAAACTGGGGCTTAGAAAGGTTGTAACTTGTCCATGGTCATTTATTTAATAAGTGGTAGGGCCAGCTAGTACTTAAACTTGGCACTCTTTATATATATATACCACTGTCAACTTAATTCTCTCCTTCCAGGTTATATGAATTTTGTAATTTGTCTCTTTGTTTA